TCTTCACTACTATACTACCTTTTCAAGTTCCAGAATTGCTTGTTTTGAGTTTTCTTGATGCCTGCTAATGCTAGGGAGGCAGGGCAGGGTAGTGCAGAAGGAATGGTCTTTGAAGAGAAACAGGGCTCTTCCCTCACCTGGAAACACTGCTATAAGAATAATATAACACCTGCATAACATCTAACACATTATCAATGTTCAACATACTGTATTTTATTGTATTTGGAGAGTTTTGCTTAAGAGTGCAGGCTCCTGGAGGCAGAAAGTCTGGGTTCAAATCCCAGCTCCACCATTTACTATCTGTGTGACACTGAGATTCCTTAACCTCTCTGTACCTCAATTTCCTCATTTATAAAACTGAAATAATGCCCTAACCCAGTGGTCGGCAAACTCATTAGTCAACAGAGCCAAATATCAACAGTATTTCTTCAAAATGGGCTCGCCAAGGCTGCAAAAAAAATATGGCTAATTTTAGAAGCTACTCAAAATTCTCATTCAATTAATTAAAAACATTTAAAACACTGTTGTAGCCCTAACCGGTTTGGCTCAGTGGATAGAGCGCTGGCCTGCGGACTGAAAGGTCCCAGGTTGGATTTTGGTCAAGAGCATGTGTCTTGGTTGCGGGCACATCAACAGTAGGAGGTGTGCAGGAGGCAGCTGATCGATGTTTCTCTCTCATCGATGTTTCTAACTCTCTATCCCTCTCCCTTCCTCTCTGTAAAAAAATCAATAAAATGTATTTTAAAAAAACTAAAATAATGATGCCATCATCACAGGGCTGTTGTGAGAAAGAAATGTATTAATACATGTAAAGCACTCAACAGAATCACAACAGGGGATAAAAGTTAGCTCAAGTTCGAGATTCCCAGAGAGTCATTTCCAGTTTTGTCACTGTTGTATAATAAAAAATTTGGCTAGCCTTTGTGTCCTGTTCCTGGGAGGTAGCCTCTAAACCAGGGGTGGGCAAACTTTTTGACTCGAGGGTCACAATGGGTTCTTAAACTGGACCGGAGGGCCGGAACAAAAGCATGGATGGAGTGTTTGTGTGAACTAATATAAATTCAAAGTAAACATCATTACATAAAAGGGTACGGTCTTTTTTTTTTTTTAGTTTTATTCATTTCAAACAGGCTGGATCCGGCCTGAGGGCCGTAGTTTGCCCACAGCTGCTCTAAACCCTTGGAATTTCCAAAATGATAGTATTTTTGTTATTCATGGTAGGCCCCTAGATGGTTTATGCTAATAAGATGACTCAGTATGGGGACTAACCAATCCAGAAAGACCAAACACAGGTTTAGAGGCTTGGGGCTTTGAATGTGTCATAAACCTGGTCCCTGGTGAAGGGAGGAGCCAATAATCCAGTCAATCATGCCTACATAATGAAACTCTAATAAAAACTCTAGATACATTGGTGAGCTTCTGTGGTGGGCAATATTCTGCATGTTGTCACACTTTGATGTATCAGCAGGATAACAGGGTCCTGACTGCCCAAGGAGAAGACAAGGAAGCTTTGTGTTAAGGGCCCTCCGAGACCTCACCCTATGCATCTCTCTCTTTTGCTGGTTGAACTGTATCCTTTCACTAAAATAAATCTGTAATTTTAAATATAGTGCTTTCCTGAGTTCTGTGAGTCATTCCAGTGAATTATGGAGCTTGAGGGGATCAAGGGAACCCTGAATTTATAGCCAGTAGGTCAGAAGTGAGGATCGTCCTGGGAACCTCTGAAGCTGTGGCTAGTGTCTAAAGTGAGGGCAGTCTTGTGCCTTCTGGTTTCAGAAGTCACTTCAGTCACTAAAGTGCAATGTGATTCTCAGCCTATCCTCCACCCCAACCCTTCCTCAATAACTCTTCCCAAGAGAATCAGTGACATTGTTCATTGAGCTGAGCCAGGATTTATGGTTGTCCAAACCCAGGTAAGACAAACAGGATTTCCAGGCCCTCAGTGGATCCTACTCCCTGATCTCCCTTCAGTGGGAATGAAAGGTGGCTTGGACCCCATGTCCTTCCCCTTACCCCCTTTACCCCTGTGCAGGCAGGCTCATGCACAGTATGTGCATGCATGCACAGAAACACACATGATCACTTTGCAGTCTGGCCTGGGCCAGTAAGGATAGCAGGTAGAGGCAGGGACAAAAACATACAGCAAAGGCAGGGACTGAAGCTTTTAGAAAGTGGCTGGGAGCAAATGGATTTTGCTACTGTTATGAATCGTAATGTAAATATCTGATATGCAGGATGGTTTTAGGCGACCCCTGTGAAAGGGTCGTTCGACCGCCAAAGGGGTCGCGACCCACAGGTTGAGAACCGCTGTACTAAGGACTAAAATCCTGGAGAGAGAAAGGAATCAACAAGGATGGGGATGTGGGTGGCATCAAGCAGGAACCAGCTCAGTCCAAGAGGCTTGATTCCAAGACCTGGGGAGGGGATGGTCAGCGGCATGGTCCCTAGTCAGCCCCTTCACCTGGGACCAGCTTCCTTACAGACCCCAAGCTACAGCAATTATAGCTTTTTCCTGCTCCCTAAATATACAGGTAAGAGATAGGCATTAACCAAGATTCTGTCTTTCCAACTCTATTTAGATGACTCATAAATTAACATCTCTAGCCTAGAGCTCTTCTTAGTCCTGAAGTTCAGGTTTTAGAGACCAACTACCTGCTGGATATTTACTGGATAGCCTGCCAATATCTCAAACTAAACATGTATAGAAGTGAATTAATCAACTTTTAGGGTCCTCCTCCTCCTCCTATCCTCCCATATGCACACTGTCTTGCTTTTCAAAATGTTATTGGGAACAGGAGCAACAGCACCATCACCCGGGAGCTTTTAGAAATGCAGAATCTCAGGCCTCATCCTGGACCTACTGAATCAGAATCCACAATTTAACACGATTCCCCAGATGATTGCTATGCACACTAAAGTTTGCACAACTGATCTATCTAAGACACTCCCACTAAGCACTGAAAATCCTCAAGGATTCTGCAACAGTTCTGCTGGTCTCCTAGATTCCAGAAATTCCCCCTGGTAACTCTTCCTCTATTATGTTGTCAAATTCATGATTTTAAACCGTTTCCTCCTCAAAAGCTTCCAATGGCTTCTCACTGCCTATTAAACCTCCCACCTTAGTAGTCAATAAGAAATAATACTTACTGCATGCTTATTATGTGCCAAGTACTAGACCAAGTGTTTTACATGTGTTAACTCATTTAATTCACCTAAAACCCCTATTACCTAAGTATTACTGTATCTCCATTTTACAGATGGGAAACTGAGGCATGGAGGGGGTTGGAAATTTCCCCAATATCCCACAGCTAGTTAAATGACTGAGCTTAGAATCACACCTAGGCAATTTGACCCCAGAGCTCACATTCTTAACCACTGTTCCATTCTGCCTCTCTAATTCAGTAGCCTTATCTTTTAGGGCTTGCCTCCTAATACTTGCCTGTGCTTCAGCCAAAGTGATCTTTCTGTTTTTCTAGAAGTACATTAGTTCTTTCCAACCCCTGTACCTTTGCAATAAGAGTATGTGTAGTACTACTGGAAATCACCTGGGCTTCAGAAGCACCTAGGTTCAAATTTCAGGCCTGACCACTAACTGCTGGTGAGACCCTAGGAAAATTGTCAAACCTCTCTGAATCCCATCTCATCTGCAAGTAAAACACAGTTTTTAAAAACCATCTAACTGAAATGGTTTCTGTGAAGTTTAGAAAATATGCAGAGGATGTTTAGCACAATCTTGGCATGTAGCGGGTACTCAATCACTGGTAACTATTATGGAATTTCAAATCTTATCCATCCTTTGAGGCCCACTCAAATGTAACTTCATCTTGTAGCTTGCTTCATCACCCCAACTAGACATGATAGTATCTTCTTTTAAATTTTGTTAATATTTTCTGCCTTATTTTAATATCGTACATTTGTCTTATCCCTACAAATTAGAATATAAGCACCAAAGGAGAAGGCCATTTGCAACTAGCACAGTGCACCATAGGAGTTGAATAAACACTACTGAATATGTTCTAGGCCTAATATGTTCAAGTGGATTGGATACTGAGTAATAAGTAACCAGAACCACAATTAATTGTAGTTTAAATTAAAGAAAGGAACTAAAAACAACTAGACACCTGTAACTATGTCACCCCAGGCAATATGTGTATATTAGTTCATTTAGTATTCTAATTGTACAATGAGTTACTATCCTCATTTTCCAAATGAGGAAATGAGTTCAGAGTGATTTCCTCGAGGTCACAAATGTTCCATGAGAACTTGGACCTACTCACTCTCTTTGATTGCTGTATTCCCAGTGTCTAAGAGTGTCTGGAACATAGTAGATATTCAATAAATATCTGTTGAATGAATGAAGAGATGAACAAATAAAGCTAGTAAGCAGGACTAGAATGAATTTCACCTGACTCCCAGTGCAGTCCTCTACTATATTGCCAATTTAAAACAGGTATTGGGATGTACCATTTATTGAGCAACTGCTGTGTAACTAAACATTGTTTGAGAGATAACTGAACCCTATTTAGGATAAGGGACCAAAGGGCAGAATGTTGACTTAATTACACTCCTCAGTTCATGGCAGTGACTGTATTAGACACTTTACATAAATTATGTCATTTCATCTTCCTAAAAATTATTTGAGGTACATATTTTTTTTTCTTTTCTTTTTTATTATTAGTTAAGGTGTTACAAATGTTTTCCTTATCTGTTCCCCTCTCTATCACACATAACCGATCATTTGTCCAAAAATGCATAGCCTCCATCCAACAGCACTTAGCATAATGCTCTCCAGTTCCATCCATGCTGTTGCAAAAAGCAAGAGTTCCTTTTTTTTTACCGCAGCATAGTATTCCATTGTGTAGAGAGGTACATATTTTTTATCTCCATTTTACAGATGAAGAAATGCTCCCTATGAAATAACTAGCCAAAATTCACACAAGCAGCAGGGTGGGTGATTCCAGTCCAGTAAGTTTAACTCCAAACGCTGTGTTATTAAATACCTGTCCCGGCTTTGGGCTTGTAGGTGCGATAAAAATACTGTCCCCTGTTCAAACATCCCCAGGAGCGAAAGAGCGTCATAAACAGGACTGCACGGAGCTGCGACAGGGAGGGCAGGAATTAAACCAAGACTGTTTGGGTCACCGAACAAATCAATAACCAAGTTACCACGCTGCAATCTCTCATTAACCCTAGAATGCTGCTACTCTAACAAGGACTGGTGGCAGGTCTTGATAAAATTAGGAGACGGCAGAAGCAAAGATACTTAAGAAATCAGCTAAAGCTCCGCATTTAACACAATGTAGGTGTCAAGGACAAGCCTTGAGAGTATGGGAAGGGGACGTGAATGGGAGTTTCACAAGAAGACTTGGAAAGAACAAGGCGGGCAGGGGGCAAAGCGGTTAGCCCAAGAACAGGTGCAGTGTTGGGACTGGCAACGGGTACTGGAAGGGCCTGCGGGGAGAAAGGGGTTCCGGCTCTCTCAGGCCACGAGCCCGTCACCCGACTTCATTAAGGGACACTCTGCCTCACCCTCGGTCCCTTCGGTCGCAGATCCCCAGCTCACCAGGGGCCTGGGCGATGTTGTACCCGGCTCTCCAGGAGACTCTGCCGCCTCCGCCATCTTTGCCCTCCTGCTCCCGGGTCGCTCCCACAGGCCTTTGCGGAACCTAAGACGTGGAAGCCGCAGCTCGTCAGCGCGTCGTCGCGCGACAGCCGCGTCACCGAAAGGGCCTGGCACCGGGTCTTGGGGAGAGGTTCCTGATTCCTCGTTCGCTTATTCGGGGCCACGGGGCCCGCCAGACAGGTTAACCCTTCCACACTCAAGCCCGATTCTCAGATCGCTCCCTGGGTCTCGGGACCTGGCTGCGTTCCCTCTCCCGGCACACAACCCGACCACCGCTCTCAGGAATAGGCTCAGCGCCATCCCCTCAGCGCAGCACCTCACCGAACAAGCCTGCCCCGCCCAGCCGCCAAAAAAAAAAAAAAACGGCGTTTCCTGCCTCCTGAACTAAGGGACCAAGCACTCCCTAACCTACTGCTCGCGTTGCTGTTGTCCCTGCCCTGCCAATTCCCTGCGCTTCTTATCCCGCTCCTCCCACATCCTCGAATTTTATAAACTTGTATACTGGCTCCACACCGACCTCCAAGATTACTTTTCTCCCTCACCCACTTTAAGGAGGGGGGGAACATCTCTATAGACATTGGCCAAAAACTTAACCCCACTACAACTTCTAAAGTTGCTAAGCGATTTGGGGCAAGTACTTAATATGTTCAAGGCCTAAAAAAGGGTGATTATTGTAAGAATAACTTTTTAAAACGCTGCATGTCCCAACCTCATCACGGGTTTTTCTAATGTTTCTGACTCCAATTCACCTCAACGCCAGGCTAAAATGTGGCAGTACGTTCAGTGTACTGCCTTTTGGAGATGTGAATACCAGTTTTCAGCTCTTAAAAACACAGGGTAGGAGGTGGGTGTGAAATAAAGTACTTTATATTTTTGGATAGGCAATGCAGGGAAACCCCCAAGTAGTAAATTTATGGAGAAAGAATCTGGAAAGTGGTTTAGGATGAAGTTCTTAAACTAATGGAAATGTTTTGTTTTGTTCAAATATTATAATTCTCCTTCCAACCAAGAAATTTTCAGTACTTGTGCCAATATTGATGGCAGTGACATTAAAGTTTAGACCAGTAGATATGATACCTTTTTAAATTACAATAGAATATTATGTACAATGTCCCAGAGTCAGCCTCCTACACACATTCTACCCCTACCACAACACCCTGGCCCTGAATGCCACCCCCACACCCTTCCTGATTTTCACCACTTAGCGGATTACCAAGTCCCTTCCTACTTCCTTGGAGCCATTGATAACCTCTTCCATTTTCTTGCCAACCTCCAAAATTATTTATCTCTCCCTAGCTGAAAGCCCCAACTTGTGCCACCTAACCTCATCCCTTGGCCTCTTTGCCACTCTTTTCTAGATGGCCTTGAAGCTGGGTGAAGAAAAGAACAGGCCATAAAACAATATTTGAGGTAGTCCGTATACAGGTTACATAGGCATTGTTTCAGACTAAAAATGCCACTTTTCCTCCTTTAACTAATAGGGTACAGTTTGGGTGTGAGATAATATGCTATGAAGAAAGAACTCTGGATGGAAGGTTGTGAAGGAAGGAGGTGGCATAGGGCTGAGCTGCCAAAATAGGAATTATTTTATGTTTGCAGTTGCATATATATGTCACAGAATTGCCAGACTAACTCAGTATTCTTCAATACACTTACACTTACTACCCTCTGTTAGGCTATGAACGTTTATAGTATAACAAGACTCTCATGATTTACCCAGAATTACTTAGAAACATTGTAAGTGATGGAATTGGGATTAACATTTAGGCCAATATGTATAGAGAACTTAACTAGTTCTAAATTATATGATAATATAATGTACAACTCCATGTAAACAACTGGAAAATATTGACAAAACAAGCAGTTTCCTAGAAAAATAATCAAAGTTCATTCAAAAAGGAAGTAGGGAATTTAATGAAGACAATTTTTGAAGAAAAAATTTGAAATATATAAAAGCAATGTACAGAACAGTTTGTATGGTATGCTATCCATAGGGAAGAGAATATATAGGGGTGGACCCCTGAACCAAGATGTCACTGGTTTGTTTCCCAGTCAGGGCACATGCCTAGGTTTCTGGCTTGATCTCCAGTAGGAGGTACACAAGAAGCAGCTGATTGATGTTATCTCGTTGATGTTTCTATCTATCCCCCTCCCTTTCCTCTCTAAAATCAATAAGAACATATTTTTTTAATTGCCAAAGATCTATCCTCCCCTCCCATTCCCAAAGGGCTGGATAGTTTCACAGGCCATTTATTCAAGTCTTCAAAGAACAGTAATCCTTACCCTGTATAAATTTTTACAGAGAGAGGAAAAGGGAAAATTTATAAGTCTAGCGTCCCGGTGTAAAGATGGTATCAAACCTGACAAACACAGTATTAAAAATTAGAACTATATATCAGTCTCACTTATTAATGTAATTACAAACATCTTAAACTGTTAACAAATCAAATCTGACAAAATAATAATACCCCATAATCAAGTAGAGTTTTTCCCAGAAATATAAAGTTTGTTCAGAAGCTGGATGTATAGTGATGATAACTGATCATTTCAACAGGTCAAAGAAAAAAACACACATCATTTCCATACAGAAAATTCAACTCCATTCCTGAAAATAAATACATTAATAAAATAGGAAGAAAAGGATATGTTGGGGCCCAAGACTGTCTGGTCCAAAATATCCCACAGTGGCATATTGATTACTTTGAATTAAAGTTAGTTGACCAACAGCCAGTGACCCTCCCTTGTATCCTGAATGAAGGAAATAAACCTCCCCTGTGAAAGGTGTCCTTCCTGCACCTAGAAGACACCCCTATTGCTAGAGTTCACTCAGAGCCAAAAAGTCTGTATAATTAATTCTTATTTCCTCTTTTCTAATTTACTTTGTTTAAATTTCTCATTAATAAATACATAAACCCTGCTTAGATTCCTTTCCTGTGAGCACTAATTTTCTTTGTCTTATCAATTTCTCACAAATTTATTGTCTTTTTATCTAAAAAGTATAAAAAGGTGCCTGGTCTATCATTTCTTTGGGCCTCATTTTATGATCTGAGCATTGTGTTATGATTCTTTAGGTATTAAGTTGTTTTTTTCTCCTGTTAATCTTGTCTTGTGTCAATTTTATTTTATTACTAATCCAGCCATAAGAACTAAAGAAGGGCCCTAACTGGTTTGGCTCAATGGATAGAGCATTGGCCTGGGGACTGAAGGGTCCCAGGTTTGATTCTGGTCAAGGGCATGTACCTTGGTTGCAGGCACATACCCAACAGGGAGTGTGCAGGAGGCAGCTGATCGATGTTTCTCATTGATGTTTCTAACTCTCTATCCCTCTCCCTTCCTCTCTGTAAGAAATCAATAAAATATATTTTAAAAAAGAACTAAAGAAGGCTTGGGGCTGGGAGGAATACTCTGCCTGGCCAGTGGTTTTGGCAGGCCAGCTAGGAGAACATCACTCTTGGATGTTTATCCTGAGACAACTGCAGCTAAGAGGTCCTAGGTGTCTGACAATAGAGCTAGCAAGCAGGTAAGCTGCTTTTTTTTTAATCTTACCTTGTCAGCTTCCTAAAACCTGTCTATCTGTGAGTCTTTCATTTAAAAAAAAGCAAATGATTTTTAAATTTTTCTTTCTAAATTTAGATTAGCAGGAGAAAATATTTGTGGAACTAGTTCCTTGGACATAGGAACTTTGGTAAAAACTTGGTTTTAGTATTCTCGTTTCTATTGATCTTTTTCCTCCCAGAGATGGTCATTGTTTTCATATGTCTACTTTTCTCTGCCAGCTAGAAGATGCATATGCACCTGGTGGCCAGCTGAATAGGTTTAGAAAATCTAAAACTCAATTCTGTTCAAAGGGAATAAAATACATGATTTACTATATTTCAGAACTGTTGTTTAAAAAAAATAAAAAGACAGGACCCCTATCTTTCTTCGGTTAACTCTAGGAGTAAATTTTCCAGATCTTGTGCTTTGGTTAAGTCATAAAAGGCTATTGACTTAAATCACTATTGAGATTAATTGGAGAAACTTCTAAATTAAGAAAAGAAATTTAGTGAGCTCTCATATTGATACTAGTGGCCCAGTGCACGAAATTCATGCACTTGGGGGGGAGGGTTGTCCCTCAGCCCAACCTGCACCCTCTCCAATCTGGGACCCCTGTGGCATCGGGCCTAAATCAGCAGTGAAGCATCCCTCTCACAATCCAGGACTGCTGGCTCCCAACCACTCACCTGCCTGCCAGCCTGATCACCCCCTAACCACTCCCCTGCCAGCCTGATTGATGTCTAACTGCTCCCCTGCTGGCCTGATTGCCACCAACTGCCCTCCCCCACCACCCTGGTTGCCCCAAACTGCCCTCTCCTGCCATCCTGATCTCGCCCCTAACTGCCCTCCCCTGCTGGCCTAATCGCCCCTAACTGCATCTTCCTGTCTCATCGCCCTTAACTGCCCTCCCCTGCCAGCCTGATCTTGCCCCCAATGGTCCTCCCCTGCCGGCCTGATCTCACCCCTGAACTTCCCTCCTATGCTGGCCTGGTTGCTCCCAACTGCCCTCATCTTGCCCCCAACTGCTCTCCCCTGCCAGCCTGATTGCCCCTAATGGCCTCTGCCTCGGCCCCCACCACCATGGCTTTGTCCAGAAGGAAGTCGGACATCCGGAAGATGGCTGGTCAATCTGGTCTAATTAGCATATTACCCTTTTATTAGTATAGATAGATTATATAGGATAGGATTGCTTAACTGGGGGGCGGTAGATTATACAGGATAGGATTGCTTAAATGAGGGGGGGGGGCTTTTTCAGAAGGAGGAGATGCTCTTGGCAGACAAAAACACATAATTCCTCTATCTGGACTGATAGCCTGCCGAAGTAGTCATTAAAAAATTGAACCCTTTCTTACACCTTACACCAAACCAGCTGTTGCCCTTAAAACCCCTCCTCAGCCCCCACCTTAGGTTCTCCCTTTACAGTTCACCAAGATTAGGTTCTGATTGACTGGTTTCGATGTCAGTCAGCGTCAAAAACTCTGCTTCCCAGGCAGCCATTGGCTCCTGGCACTTCACCCAGATTAGATTCTGATTGGTCAGTTTTGATGCCAGTCAGCGTCAAAAGCTCCATCTTCTAGGCAGCCATTGGCTCCTGGCACTTCACCCAGATTAGGTTCTGATTGGTCAGTTTCTATGCCAGTCAGCATC